AAGACAAGTGAAAAGTAAACACACTTTCAGAATTATACATGTAAACATTTTTCTGAGAACACAGCGCAAGGAAGGGTAACAGCTCGCCCCTGCAGGGTGATACTTCCAAAATCAGAATCTCTTTGTTAACTCAGCCAGAAGAGAAAAAATTAGTTCTCTTTTTCTTTTTGCGTCTCTTCCCCTCTTGTTCCCAGAATGTAGACTTCACGCACCTTTCCAGTGCAGTGATCACCCTCTGACGTGTGAGACAGTAAGCGTGACTCCCAGCAAGTAGGGACCAGACTTCATCCCTGGGCCAGTGGGCTGTTCTCATCTTTGAGCTTCTTAGTCACTGTCTTCTTAACCTGTCAGGTCCCGGCCCACAATTAGCCTGGAGTTTTTTTTTATTTATTTATTTTTTTCTTTATTGGTTTTAGAGGGAGAGGAAGAGAGAGAGAGATAGAAATACTGATGAGAGAGAACATCGATTAGCTGCCTCCTGCATGCCCCCACTGGGGATCGGGCCCACAACCTGGGCATGTGCCCTGACCAGGAATCGAACCGGCAACCTCTTGGTGCAGAGTCAATACTCAACTACTGAGCCACACCAGTTGGGCTAGCCTGGAGTTTCATAAACCCTTTAGGTTCCCACGAGTTTCCTCCTCCAATCCAAAGGTTCTTGATAGTAAATTGAGTATTTTGTCAATGATATTTAGACTAAATAAGTTAATTCACTGGTTTTGAATGTTGAATCTGTGTGTGCATGTGTATCCACTGTGCGTGTGCGTACACACACACTCCACAGTAAATTTACAGATGTATGCATAGAAAATGGACAGATTGTTTTCACACGTTATCTTGACACAATGTAAAGTTTGCTCAACTCTGTGTGTGTACTCTGAAAGTTGACACCTGCACCCGTGTCATGGCAGGCTGGAAGCCGGAAGGACGGGCAGGTCCTCAGGGACAGTGCCCTCCGGACAAGCGTTCAGTCAGCCGGGCCCCACTCTGCACCCCTGACTCCCCCGACTCCCACGGGCGCCGAAGACAGTGTCTGAGAGCGAGAATGGGTTTCCTCGAGCCCTTTCTCCACTCACTGCACGTCGCTCTGCCCTGATCCTCGGTCCGCTGAAAGGACTGCCCGTTGGCCGTTCCAGAGGACCAGCTCTGACGCCGTCTCTTTTGTGACACTTTTGATCCACGTGTCCTGCCAACCGTGTCCCATGCGCTTCCCCGCACTTTTGATCTCTGTTCTGGCTCTATCGAAGTCGCTCTGAATCACGGTCACATGTGTGTTGTCTAATCCCTTACACCTCGAATGGCTTTCCTCGAGGTTAGAAGCCGCACTCCGCCGATGTTATCGACAACTCCCGGGATTGTGCTTACTAAGTATTCAATAATTGATTACTCAGTTTACTATAGGGAACCCAGCGCAGTCCTGAGGAGGCCCCCGAACAGGCATCACTGGCAGGGTGTCTATTAGGAGCCATTAACATGCTCCCTCCTTGTGCCAAGAAGTTTATTAACATTCTTCAGATTATATTTTAATGAAGTTTTGTGATGGAAAATGACAAGAAATACTTTTGTGTATTCGTCTACTCCTACAAAGCTGGTTTTATGAATTCAAAGGGATTAGAAAAAATTGATCTCATATATTGCAAAACCCAATGAGTTGTGATTTCTCCTTCTGTAAATGAAAAAGTTTAAATGAAATTCCAGAAATGTTGCTAGGTTTCATTTAATCTTTAGTAATAAAAGAAAGAGAGTATGTGTGTGACTCTCAACAATTACTTTACCAATTCTGATTTCTCATTAAATTTTTAAGGAATCTGAGCAAATAGAATAAAGGTACATTGAAAATTAGAATAAAGCCCTAAAAGTGTACCGGATTTTAAAATGAAAATACAAAGCATTTGGGTTATATATTCAAACGTTTGTTCCACTTTTCAAGAAAGTCAAGTACCTGCCCCTCACCACGGACCTTGCCCTCAAACGACAGCTTTGACATTTGCTGGACTTAGTTCCCTCCTGGACAATGCCCTGAACAATTTAACTTATTATCATTTTCTTTTCAGTGACCTAAGAACCAGATTGTCATACAAAATTATTGCGATGAAATTTGCAAAAGTTTCTCCCTTAAAATCCAAAAAAGATTAACCCCAAGCGTAGCAGCTGCGTTCTTGGCCTGTGGGGTGGAAAAGGATCTTTTCCATGTGAAAGGCAAGTTTTTTTCAGGCAGTAAAACTCTGGGATACATAAAACACCTTATAAACTTCAATGTGACACCTGGAAATGCCTTTTATTTTTTAATCCTCACCCAAGGGTATTTTTTCATTCATCTTCAGATAGAGTGGGAGGGAGGGAGGGAGAGAGAGAGAAACATCGATGTGAAAGAGACACATCTACTGGTTGCCTCCTGCACGACACAACCAGGGCCACCGAGGTCCGTGCCCTTGACGGGAATGGGTCCTCGGGCGAATGCTGTAACCGCTGAGCCAAACTGGCCAAGGCAGGAAATGCCATTTTGACAGCTAATTTCCAGTAGAGGTTTACACAGGAATAAAAAGGTGGGATTTATTTTGAAAGAAATATAATCATAGGAGGGTGTCAGGAACAGCCAGGGAGGCAGAGGAACGCGCATCAGGCCGCCCCCGGTGCTCTCAGCTCCGCGGTCCCTTCCTCCGCCTCCGAACCCGCTGCAGTCCCAGCTCATGACCTGAGCAGCACCGCCCTGGCATGTCGGCTGCAAGTCCAAACCACAGAGGCAAAAGCAGGCTTGCCGCCATCTCTAAGACGGCTCTGTTTGTGCGTGCCATCGCGTTCCGAGCTGGGAGGGTGAGGTTGACTTCACGACCCTGGGGCTGGGAGGTCAAAGACTCTGGATGCTCATGGCCCCTGTTCTTGAAAATGCGCCTCAGCAGCCGGGGTTGAACTAGCACAAGCAGATTAGACAAGATCATGGAAGCAGCCACTGAGCAAAATAAAAATGGATTCTTTTTTCTCATGCATTTTAATATTTCCAGAAGACCGTTCAATTATTGAAGTGTCTCCTGAAGGTTGAAGACCAGGAGTGGGATTATCACTGTCATCCATATTAGGGACGTGCATTCATTGGGTCATGTGGTGTAGTTTCTTCTTGCTATTAAGCTCTGCTGTCTGAGGTTATAATATTTAACAGAGTCTCAGAAAAAAAGATGATAAAACATAATCCCCATACCAGCCGTGAGAGAGAGCATCCTGCCGTTTGCGACAGCATGGGTGGGCCTTGAGGGCGTGACGCTGACGGAAGAGAGTCAGACAGAGAGACACAAATACTGTATGAATTCACCTATATGTGGAATTAGAAAAAATAATCTCATAAACAGAGCGTGGAATGTGCCCTCGGGCCTGGGCACGGGGGAGATGGGCAGACATTGCCAAAGGGCGCCAACTTCCAGTTATAAAATGAACATATTCCTGGAAATAATCAAGCAAGATAAAATGATTACTCGTGACAAACGGGAATAAAAGTACCATAACTTTAATCAAAAAGTGGTGTATATCTATATACATGTGTGTACAGTCATAAAAAGGAATGAGATTCCGTTCTGTGCTACAACCCAGATCCACCTTGAAACATTATGAGAAATGAAACAAGCCAGACAGAAAAGGACGCATCCCGAGTGATCCCGCTAATGCGAGGGACCCAGAAGAGGCAGATGCCGAAGACAGGAAGTAGATGGTGTTTAGCAGGGCTGGAGGCAGGGATACAAAGTTTCCGTTTGGGATGAGGAGAAATTCTGCAAGTGGACAGTGCTGATCTTTCCACAACTTGTGAATGTGCTTACTGACACTGAATCGTATACTTGAAAAGGTTCAAATGGTAAAATGTATGACAATTGAAACAAATGACTAAACACTGAAAAACAATCCCTTTCTTGAAGAACAGACACTCGGTTCACAGTGAGATTGAATGTCTTCCAGCTCAGGCGGGTATGTGGTGTGGTCCCCAAGCTCCAGGCTTGAGCTCAGAAGATTCGCTTCTCTGTCACTTCCTAGTGACCACAACTTGAGTGGTTGCCCTGGCCAGTAGTCAGATGGTTAGGGCATTGTCCCAAGACGCTGGGATTACAGTTCCCAGGTCAGAGCACATACAGGAATCAAGCGACGGACACGTAAATAAGTGGAACGACAAACTGATCTCTCTCTCTCTCTCTCTCTCTCTCTCTCTCTCTCTCTGGCTGTCTTCCTCTCTCTCTCTAAAAGTCAATAAGTAAAAAATACATATTTTTTAAATTTTTGAGCAAGTTACTGAGGTCCTTTGTACTTCAGTTTCTTCCGGTTATAGGACCCAGCAGAGCTGTTTTGAGGACAAAACTAAAAGGGAAGGTGCCTGGAGAGAGCTTTATGAACACCCGCGACTGCACTGTGCGCGGGCCTGTGTGCTCCGTGTTCCGTTCGTGTGTTTGCTCCTTACAACCGCCCACTGAGACACACTTCGACCCTAGTTAAATACCTAGAATGTTGTCGTTGGTAAGAGTCAGCCAAGGTGGTTTTTTAAAAAACGTTTTTCTCTATATAAAGTATTGAATCACAGTTTTTAGAATTGAAACAGCTGAATTTCTGAGGAGACCGCATTCCTATTTGCCACTGTTGGAGTGAACAGGTCACTGGCCCTTTCTGTCTGCTGTCGCAGCCCAGCCTGTGTCCACCCCTTAGGGAGAGGGACAGCTACATTGCTGTTGCCTAGGAAAGAAGTGGGTTTCCACTGTATTTACTTACAAGTAGTTAAAAAATGTGTTGCTGCCTGATCTTGTCTTCCATCTTAACCGTTGTCAGCCTCCACAACCTCAGACAGGTGACAGTCTTTGACATTGAGTGCTCGTCAATGAGACATTATCTTATAAAACTCTTTGGATACACGGTTGCATTGGAAAATACGTATTTAAAACCTGACCTAAATTGCTTGCTAGAACTCATGAATTAGTACCAAGACTCACTGTGATTGAAACTAATGCCAACAATTTTTGTTTCCCCCTCAGTGGCTACGTCTTTGACTATGACTACTACAGAGGTGATTTCTACAGCCGGTAGGTGCATTTTCCACCTTGGTTCCCTTCGATTTAAATGATCTTTTCAGTAGCTTGTACATTTCATTCACAGGTATTCTTGATTGGTGTGTTTAAAATAATATTTTAGAGTAAAAACAAAAGAAAATACTAAGTCCCCCCAAGTGCAATTTAGACAGCTTTTCCTATTTTCATTGTACTTATTGAAGTATATAAAGCACAGCTTGGACTATGGAGGTGCTGAAGCCTAAAATTGGGCATCTGATATTTGAATAATATTTTAGAGATTTAATCAACCAAGGTTATTTTCCAGGTCTGTTGTTGACTTGGAATTCCTTAAGACGGAGCTTTATAAACTCCAAAAATGACTTCTCCCTCCGAAAACACATCTGTTTTCCAAAGCATATTCAGCACGCTCGTGGGTTAGGCGGAGTGAAGTGTATATAGACTTGCTCAGCGTAGCAGTGTGGGGGACCCGACGAGGGAGCACGCCGCGATGCTGATACTCACTGGGAAACTGGACTTTCCGTGGTCTTTCAAAATGTTTGCTACCACATCACAGGCTCTCATACTCTAGGTTACAAATGTATAGGGAACTGCAGTAAAACCAACAGTGACTTAGGACACTGTCGTTTAAAACAGCGAGAAGATGGAGAGTTCTTTCCTTCTTTATGAAAAAGACGTCTCCATGGTCTGAGCAGGGTTCTCCGGAAGGAAGCACACAGCCGGCAGCCGTGACACTGAGTTCTGCAGGGGGCTCTTTTCTGTCACTTCCTCTGGGACACCTCCCCCACCTCCCGGCCATCACAGCCTCCTCCCTCATGTGTGGGGATGTGCTTGCTTTTCCTGACTCGCCCGGCTCCTCCCGGGTCCCGCTGGCGTTCAGTGCGCTGCCCGAGGCCCAGCTCCCGCTGCCCCGCCTCTCCCCAGCACGCCGCGCTGTGGGTGCCCGTCTCTGCAAAGTGCCACGTGGCCTGCGGTGAGGGCACAACCCCATCTGCTGTGGGTGTGACCCGAGCCACAGGTGGCAGCAACCCATCAACGACAGCCTTCGAAAGAAGCAACGTGACTGAGGAAGATAAGAAAACATGACATTTGTTTTGTTTTTCATTGAATTTATGGGGGTGATTTGGTTAATACAATTATATAGGTTCCAGGTGTACAATTCTCTAATACAGCATCTGCATATTGCACTGTGTGCAGTTTTCCTGGGTATACATTGTAGCCCAATGAAACCGTTCATTAGATTAGATGTCATTAGGGAGGTGGGTGTGGAGGGAGGGAGGGAGGGAGGGAGATGGATGGATGGATAGATCTTACCTGCCAAAGGCAAGAGCCTTAATCCGCCAAGTCATGATAGCATCTGGTTCTCCGAATGCCTCTCCACGGCACAGAAAAAGTGAACTCTGAACAATTTCTAAAATTTGTTTGTCTTGCAAATAATCTGGCACGTATGAAGCTCAGTGGTTGGCTTGCGAACAGCCCGTCCGAGCCATCTGTGCTCATTCGTTTGTCTCCCGTCTTTTTCACTGGGCTGACGAAGACCGCACACCTGCCTTGGTGGCCATGGTCAGGAGGTCCCTGCGGACCAGGTCTCCGCGGATGGGGAGGCCAGACGAGAGACACAGCTCAGAAAGCCGGTGCTGACAGTGTCATCCACAGTGACTCCTCTGTGTACTTGTACTCTGCTTGTACTTGTGGTTAATTCTTGTCTTTTTTTATGGGTTTGTCTCATCCATGAAGTGAGCATGAGATTAATTGCTGCCTCATAAGGGCCTGCTGAGAGTTAAATGAAATACATTGTAGCTGTCAGCATTATGCCTGGTATGGCTAGTGCTCCCCGGGTGTTAGTTAAGCAGTAACCGTTAACTAGCAGTAACCGTGGACAGTGACGGTAAAAGGATTCCTTATACTGATATTCATGTAGCAAAGTCCCAGGGACACAGAGTGACAACTGGGGGTCAGCTGTCCTTCCGTAACTGTCCATTGTGCCGCTCTGGCCATCCTAGTTCTCCCTTCTTCGGCCCCCAGGGCACTGGGCGCCACTGACCACACCGACCCGCAGGGAGGGAGCTCGGTGCTCTCCTTTAACCCCAGGCCGCGGTCGGGGTCAGGGAGCAGATCACACATCACATTCCACAGGGATGATTATACCTGGAAACTGACTAAGGACCTGAACAAGCAAAGAGGAAACTGTGATGCAGTTGAGTTCGTGGCTGCAGGGAGCAGCGACCCCTCCAGGGCTGCAGGCTGTCTGTAAGACTGTCAACAATAAGACAGACTTCGTGCCGGCCGGTGTGACCAGCGCAAAGGGACTCCGCTGCTGCTGCTGGAACTAAGGGCCGCTACAGGGTGAGGAAACAGGGCCGGGGGATGGGGACAGGGCCCCTCCGGTCCAGCCATGGCCCTCGGGGCCCTCACGGGTGTGGTCTGCAGAGTCCCAGCCTGCTGGGATCAGGACGTGGCTGAAGCTGAAACAGTCCTCGTGGTCCCAGCACCCAGTTTCTGCCCCACCTTGGGGTGCTCATGCACTTAATTGGAGATTTCCAACCTTAGGTAGTTTTAAGCGCTTAGGAAACTTCTTTACACAAAGTTCTATCTTATTGTGGTTGGCTTTTTGTTTTTTTAATATGTTTTTATTGATTTTTTAGAGAGAGAGAGATAGAAACATCAATATGAGAGAGAAACATCGATTGACTGTTTCCCACATGCCCTCCTGGGGATCGAGCCCGCAACCCCGGGCACGTGCCCTGCCTGGGAACCCAACGAGGACCTCTCCGTCCGTGGGACACGCTCCATCCACCGAGCCTCATTGGCCCAGCTTATTATAATTGTTATGTTTTTTTTTAATCCTCACCCAAGGACATTTTTGCATTTATCTTCAGATAGAGCGGGAGAGAGAGAGAGAAACATCAACATGAGAGAGACACATCGAGTGGCTGCCACCCACATGACCCCACATGACCAGGGCTGGGGACAAACTGCAATCAAAGTACATGCCTTTAGCAGGAACTGAACCCGGGTCTCTCTGGGCCGAGGGCCAGCACTCTAACCACTGAGCCAAACCAGCCAGGGCTATTGTAGTTGTTTTGATACACTGGCCCAGCAGTGACTTTTCCAAAGACTAATTGAATGTCTATCCCCAATTTTAGGGTCAATGTAGAGTATCATACAATAAAACCTGAGTGGCTATTCCAAACCTTAATTTTTTATACCACAGACAGCAATGAGCAGTAATTGACAGCATTCAATGGCATTTTCTTCTAAGAGGTCATGTGTGGCTCCCTATGAAGGATTGCACATGTTACTAAAACAAAACATAAATACTGACTCTCTTTTAAGTAGAACGAAAGGAGATGGGCGCCCCAAATTGTATTGCCTCTCCCCAGGGAATGTTTCCAGTTTCTGAGCTGGGAGCCGTTCTCAGTCGGCCTTTATTCAGTAGCATCAGGGAGCACACCGGGCAGTTTAAACTCCCAGAACGAGGGGCTTCTGCTAACAGAGGAGAAGAAAGACCTCGGAGCAAACATTCCCAGTGAGCGGTCCGAGTGGGCGTCGCTCAGCTCCGGCACCCTTCCGCCTCTATAAATGAACAGAAGAGGACCGGCTGCAGTTGCAGTTCATGAGAAACTCGAGGTTGCCGCTGTTTCAGACCATTGACCGTTCGTGAATATTGGAAACACATTAGCGGGAGGCCATGTCTGTGTCATGATGCAAATTCAAAGTGCCACCTGGTAGCATGGTCTCCTGCTGAAAACGTGGAAAGGCCAGTGTGGTGCAGTTGGCACGGGCTATGGTTCTGAGGCAGAAGACCCAGTTGTGCGTGTGTTGACAGGTTCAATTTGGACAAGTCACCTCCTCCGTTTTTTGTAAGTTTCCTTCATGGGCAAAATGGCTCAATGTACCTATGGCAGAATTATAAGACTAAAAGGTGCATTTCATTGCTATTCAAATGTATTACCTTTTCATTTTTATTTTTTAATTTTTTTTCTTTATTGATTTTTAGAGACAAAGGAAGTGAGAGGGAGAGAGACAGAAACATTGATGAGACAGAATATTGACTGGCCGCCTCCTGCATACCCCGCACTGGGGATCAGGCCCACAGCCTGGGCATGTGTTCTGGCTGGGAATCGAACTGGTGACCTCTTGGTGCAGGGTCCATGCTCAACCACACTGGCCGGACACCTAATACCTTTTTAATTACCCAAAGCTATATACAAACTATAGCAGATAGCAAAGTTGTACAAAATATTTTACAAATATGTTAAGGTCCAAATATTGCAAGAAAGATCATTCAAGATCTCCTTCAGCTTGCCTTGAAAGGCCTGTTCAAGACGTATTTGCCCAAGATGTAGGGCACTGACGACACCACTGAAAATCTTGGACACATTTAATGACAAAAAACAAAAAGAAAAGTTAATCATTGACTGGTCTCAAGTGAAGGGAATCTTAAAAAATTGTTTTCTGATCAGTTGTAACCAAAAGCTTATCTGATGTCTGGATGGAAATTATAGAAGAATTTATGAATGTAGAGTCATTCAAACAGTAGAGACAAAAAGACATACTAAAAGACTATAAAATTCTTGTATGTGGATTTTAAATGTAGCTTTGTTTAAAAATAAACGGGCACCTTCATTTGGTGCTACAGACTGTACATCTCAGAAGTTAAGCAGTGCTAAAGAGGAGGGGTCGAGGTTGACTCGAGGCTGAATCTGGTCCCCTCGTCATTGGTCACACACCTGCTAAAAGGCCCCAGTGAGCACATGGTCCCAGCAGCCCGTGGATTTAGCCCCTAGTCCAGTCCACGTATTTTTCTTAGCATTAAGCACATAAGTGACTATAAGTTTTGATTCATAAGTAAGAAAAATAAAAGTATTTTCATGAAGGAAATTTAGAAGAAAACAGGTAACTGCCAATTCTTGAACTCACTATTTATCTAAAATGAAAATTTAGTGTTCAGTGACAAAATGCTATGCAAGTATTACATTTAAAAAATTTTTTTTTAATTTTAAAATTACACCAGCTGACCATAAAATAACAGGCGTTCAGTCAAAATCCATCAGATGACGATTTGTTAGAACACAAGGCATGTACCTGAGAAAAACCACAGCCATGAAAATAATCATGAGGACGCCCATGCAGCAGGCTTGAGAATGCTTTCACCATAAACCAAGGTGACTTAGCCAGAAAACATGACTGTACAGATACTGTATTTCTAATTACGTGGAAAATATGAATACTTGTGGAAACAAGAGTATAATGGTCATTGTTTTGGAGTGTGAGACTAGCAATTGGGGTTTTTTTCCACGTATTTTTCCTAAATTGTTGCTTCATTATTGTTAAAGTTTATTTTACTTTTTCTCAATATGTTTTTATTGATTTTAGAGAGAGAGGAAGGGAGAGAGAGATAGAAACATCAATGTGAGAAACATCGACTGGCTGCCTCCTGCATGCCCCCTACTGGGGATCGAGCCTGCAAGCCAGGCATGTGCCCTGACCAGGAATCGAACCGGAACCTTAGACCATGGGCCGATGCTCAATTCACTGAGCCACGCCAGCCAGGGCTGATTATTAAAGGTTAATAGTAACAAGTTCTTATTAAAAACAAACATTCAAAATTATATTCATTTTATGTATCAATATGCCATTGAATTGCCTTCATCCAAAAAGCAGCTATTTTTAATAGCTAGTATCTTTATTCTTCCTAGAGATGTTGTATCTATTTTATCAAGTAAATTATTATTAAAATTATTTACCAACTTCTAGCTTTTGCTACCTAATAAAATTGCATGTCTCTGACATTATTAAAGCGAAGAAAATTTCAAACAAGAAATGAGATACATAAAAAGTAGAAATAAGACACATGAAAAGTAGAAATGTTTCTTAAATAAAACAAATCCTCAAATTTCCTCCAAGGGTTGCTTTCATTAAATATGTCTACATTCATTGTATTTAATGCTAGAAAGCAGACCTTTCGGAGTTCTTATTTCAAAATAGATCTTGGGGGAAGGGAAAATTATGTTTGACTTCACTGTAAACCATTATCTATTTGGTCAGTAAATAGTAAGGGCAACACAGTACTTTGGTTTTTAGAGGTTTTATTTTGGGGAAAGAAAACTGAAGTGTTTGGTTTTGTCATAAATAATTTTCTATTTGACCAGTAAATACGGGGGGTAAACAGTACTCTGACTAAGCAGTATTGTGGGAAATGGACAACATTACTGAAAAGGAGAGGGATCTATACAATTCTAAGAGTGGAAATATAAAAAAACAAGAGGAAGGAAGAAATGTTAAGGTTTTGGCTGACCTTTGGGATTCGGACCCCACTGAACCCTGTGGGCTGCTGTCTCTGTTGTCCGGGTACAATCCTAAACAGACTGTTCCTTTGTCTCAACCCCAATACTTTGTGAAGGCAAACTTTCTTTGCGCTGCAATCCACAGAATTCTGACAAGAAGCCAATGTGTGGGTCCCCTTCACCCTGCCTTTCGCCCACTCCCCCTGCACGCGGAAGGACCCCACATCGCACCCAGGGCCCTCCCAGCCTGACCTTGCTATGTGCCTGTCACTCGGACGGGACCAGCCTTCCTTCCTCTCAGTCCTGGTAGCGCAAGTGTGCCCAGGGAAAATTAGGGAACTCCCAACGTCAGTACTTCTGTCAAATTAAAAATTATGCCCTTCTGTGAAGTTCCTAAACCTTTCCTTTGGCTGCTTTTGTTTGTTTATTTGTTTTTTTGTAAATTACATATCACTTTTATTTTTTATTTTTTTCTTTATTGATTTTAGAGAGAGAGGAAGGGAGAGGGAGAGAGAGATTGAAACATCAAGGAGAGAACATCGATTGGCCGCCTCCTGCACGCCCCCCACTGGGGATCGGGCCCACAACCTGGGCATGTGCCCTGATCAGGAATCGAACTGGTGACCTCTTGGTGCAGGGTCGACGCTCAACCCTGAGCCATACTGGCCGGGCACAGATCACTTTTGAAGAGTTATGTTCTGGTGCTGTATGTCTTCCCATCAGAGCGGAAGAGAGACTGGGTGAAACCAAACCTGGTTCTTTGGTGAGAAAGAATCATCCCCCTTTGAAGCAACTCACCAAAATATTCATAAAACGGGGCTAGGGCTTATGCTCTGTGGGGATTATCAACAAAGGACACAACACATACTGAGAATGTCACGTAAATGCGTGTCACATACTAAAAGTATGACACAAACACAGCTGTTTTTTCTGAACATGTGCTCAGACTCGGCCAGCACGGGACGTCTGTGGGCCTCGGCTGGGAAGGCGGTAGAGAGCAGCAGGCGCTTCGGTTCCCTCTGAAATATCATTCGATTGCATTGTCCCTGGAGCAGCGACGGACAGTGGCTGTGTTTGGCCTGAATTTTCATGATAGCATGCTTACGTCCTTACCTATTTTAGTTGCGCTTTAGAGATGTTCTTCAACAAAAGTGTCGGTTAGCCTGGTTGATGACGCTGCTAGATTGCGGGCCCCGACGGCCGCCGAGTGAGCACCTCTCACGTCAGCGGTGACGCTGCCCGGGGAGACGTGAGCCCACGGCCCTGTCTTCTGCTCCCTCTATAGCACTGGGGGTCGTGGCTCACGAAACTGCCTGCCTGTTTCGGTTCACTAACTTACGGTGCTCTTCGAATTCAGTTCATAAATAAGGAACAGAGGCCTTGTCTGTGGTGGACATGAAGGGCGGGCTTGGTTGACCCTCTTGATTGTCCGGCCCTGGGGTAGAGACGGCCGTAGGGACGGATGGCGGTCAGAACCCTGGTGGGCACCCGCCTGCCCTGCGCAGGGAGCTGTGTGGGCCCACGACCTGCCCTTTGCCAGCAGTTCCTCGGCTCTAAAGAACTTGGCTTATTCGCAGAGGGTGGCACCTCCCTTGAACTCTCTCATTTCATTTATTTTCCTTCCCAGAGAGCTCTTAGCTTTCCTGAAATACATTTTCAAAAATTTTTTGAACACGTTAACTTACTATTGCTGGACATTTCTAGCACTAAGTTCTGCTTTGAATGTGGTTCATACTCATCTGGCCAGTGTGGCTCAGCGGTTGAGCATTGATCCTGCACCAGGAGGTTGCTGGTTCAATTCCCAGTCAGGGCACATGCCCAAGTTGTGGGCCCGATCCCCAGTGGGGGGCATGCAGGAGGCGGCCAGTCCATGTTCTCTCTCATCCATGTTTCTATCACTGTCTCTCTCTCTCCCTTCCTCTCTCTGAAATCAATAAAGAAAAAAAATGTGGTTCATACTCTTTACTTTCCCAGCTGAATTAATTAATGTTTGGAAGCCAACCTATCTTAATTGTTCTTATATTTCATATCTTACTCTCCAAAAACAATCATCTCATGTTCATTTGTATGTGTAAATGACTAATTTTAAGAAACAACCTGTTACAGAAGGGTTTCAAACCTTTTCTTCCTGTTGAAGTGTTCTCATTTCTGACTTTCATACTAGATTATTTTTTATTGACTGTTTTAAAGCAGTGATGAGAATGTAATGAGCATAACGGTGTCACAGTAACTATGTAGCAATCCTCAGCCTGAATCAATAGCACTAGTTTCTGTATAATGCAAAGTGTAAATAGATTCTCATTTTCTCTGACCTTTTATGCTTCTCAAATGTGCTCAGCTGTGCAAAACTTTGTTGTCTGTGTGTGTGCAGTATAAACATAGGAAGCTCTTAACTCTATGAATTACATATTTATACAAATGAGTAAATATCACACTTTTTTCTTTTCATTGTTTAATGGAAATGCATTGATTGCGGTGCATGTCATTTTCCACATTTTTGGGAAAAGCTTGTAAGAGTTTTGTTGGTGTTGTTGGTGGGAGAAATTTTCAGTAGATGACTATAGAAATATCGCCAGTCTCCATTCGCACATCTAACAGATGTCAGAATAACGAGAGATTTCCTGAGGAGTATTCCCACCAGGACTCAGCCAACAGTTCTGTCTCACGCCAGCATCATTTCATTCAAACCTAGTCCCCTTTTTCCCACAGGGGAGCTGTTCCTTCCTCAGAAAGTCCTTGGAGAGAGGTGCACACGGTATTGACTCGTCTCTCACAGCTCATTTCTTTAAGCTCGTCCTCTCATTTTCTCTCTCCTCCTGAGCTATTTTCTGATCGGACAGTAATTTCCTTTGCTCTGTTCCTGATTCTCCACGACCTTTTTTCTTTTCATGTGAACGTGCTAATAGGTGTCTGTCGGGGAAGAGGAAGATGTCTGTTGCCAAGAAGGACAAATCTGTTAAGCCAAGCAAACAGCATACTAAGAAACAAAGATCGGCATAATTTCAACAAATCGCAGGATCTATACACACACACACACACACACACACACACACACACACGTCCTTTCATACTTGACAAATAAGTTTATATTGGAGAGTCAGAGTCTAATGTCCAGAAAACATAAACTACATTTTTATCTCTTGTGAAAAAAATGAATCTTCCAATAAATGCCTATGTCTGACTATTAAAGACAACAGTAACTAAAACCTGTATTGAAATGTTCTGCAAGGCGTCCTCTCATTCACCCCACATGGGATGCAGTGCTGAGACATACACCAACCTCGTGTCTGTCCCCTGCAGGCTCTTCGACTACCACGGCCGTGTGCCTCCACCTCCCCGCGCTGTCATCCCACTGAAGCGCCCCAGGGTGGCTGTTGCGACCACTCGCCGGGGAAAAGGAGTCTTTTCCTCGAAAGGGGGATCGAGGTCGACCGTCAGTGGGTCCTCTTCTTCGGGCTCAAAATGTAAGCCATCTCCTTTGTCTCCTCTTAGAGAAGGTGGGGATAGACGTCTTTGCGTGAATGCCTGTATTCAATGGTCAGTCCAACTGCCTATAGTCAATAGCCAATCCAACTGCCTGTAGTCAATAGTCAATCCAACTGCCTATAGTCAATAGCCAATCCAACTGCCTGTATTCAATGGTCAATCCAACTGCCTATAGTCAATAATCAATCCAACTGCCTATAGTCAATAGTCAATCCAACTGCCTATAGTCAATAGTCAATCCCACTGCCTGTAGTCAATAGTCAATCCAACTGCCTATAGTCAATAGTCAATCCAACTGCCTGTAGTCAATAGTCAATCCAACTGCCTGTAGTCAATTGTCAATCCCACTGCCTATAGTCAATAGCCAGTCCCACTGCCTATAGTCAATAGCCAGTCCCACTGCCTATAGTCAATAGCCAATCCAACTGCCTGTAGTCAATAGCCAATCCCACTGCCTGTAGTCAATAGTCAATCCCACTGCCTGTAGTCAATAGCCAATCTAACTGCCTGTAGTCAATAGTCAATCCAACTGCCTATAGTCAATAGTCAATCCCACTGCCTGTAGTCAATAGTCAATCCCACTGCCTGTAGTCAATAGCCGATCCAACTGGTATAGAGCGTCTGCTGTGCACAGGATAGAAAACAGATAAGAAAGGGCGTCTGTTTCCAGCACAATCCATGTGGGTAAGAGGGGGAGACAGACTCAAACATGGCCCACCAAAACCCAGGACCCACTGGAAAACTTTTATCTGAGCAAATGACGGATGTCAGCCCCTTAGCTTGTCCAGTCCTGACTTGGACGTGCTGCTCTCAGAGCGGAACGATTTCACTCCCGAGCAGAGCATACATGCTCTTTCCGGAGGAACATAATGCAAAGTCAGCGCATGTCTGAGATCTGAAATGCATCCGGGTAACGAAGAGAGGGAACCCACAGCACAGTCGTTAAAAGCGAAACTGGCCATCCTATTCTAAACTATTAGGAGAGTTATGTGTCTGAAAAGACATTTCATGTCATGAAAAACAAGTTATACTTGCATGATTTCACATGGCTGAAATGCAGAGACACAGACTTTCTGAGTAAACACACTTCTCAACTTTCACAGAGACTGAGTCGGGAAAAACTCTAATTTGCTATTAGAATACTATTCCCAAGGAAAGGAGATCAAACTTTCCTGTGTGTTTTGAGATTACATTCTGGCAGAGAAGAAGCAGACAAGTTAAAATAGGAGCTAGCACACAGTAGGTCGTTGCTATGTCAAAGAATAAAGCAGAATAAAGCGACAGGAAAAGCTGGGAGAACTCTAAGTGACAGGATAGACTGTGACAACCTCTGAGACGAGGTGGCCTGTGAGCGGACACCACAGTCAAGTGCATGAGTGAGAGGGTCCTCTGGCTCTGTCGGGGCAGAGGTTCTGGGCAGAGGGCACCATGGACACAGACACCTTACATTGTATACCTGCAGGTTGATGCAAAGTATTCGGTATCATTCTTAGTAAGAGAACTTCTCCTGACTCTGGCCATCTCATACTCTACTTTCAATAAAAGTAGGATAGTCAACATGATGCGTCTTTAAATATTAAGTGTGGATTTTGATGAGTTGGGGTGGAATTGAGAAAAAAATGTAAAATAGTGTTTGCCAAAGGGAGACATTCTTTCCTTATTCTCTAATCCTAGTGCTTCTGATGAGTGAAGAAAGGAATATTTCCATGCTAATTTGTGTTTTGCATTTCCTGTTTGCTTATCTATCCCCACCTGAGACAGCCAGCTCCAACTTAACGGCCCAGCGCACATGCAAAGCGTTAAATCGGATTTGTTAGTCTGGTTGAAATTGGCGTGCAATGGCCATGCTTGCTTACACACACCTACAGACCACCTGGCATTTGCTAATTCTGTACTGGGTTCAAGTTGTATTCTTAAGTTCTGTTATGAATGGAGAAGGGGAGGAAGGAAGGAAGGAAGGAAGGAAGGAAGGAAGGAAGGAAGGAAGGGAGGGAGGGAGGGAGGGAGGGAGGGAGGGGAGGGAGGGAGGGAGGGAGGGAGGGAGGGAGGGAAAAAATGGATACCCTCTCTCCATTCAGGGAGTTTTACTGTTGAAACCCTTTGATGGCATAAATCCATTAATAAGTCATACTTCAGACAACCGCCTCACATTTCTTCTTTTTAAAATGCAATATTGGCCCGGCCAGTGTGGCTCACTGGTTGAGCATCCACCCATGCACCAGGAGGTTGCTGGTTCAATTCCCGGTCAGGGCACATGCCCAGGTTGTGGGCCCGATCCCTAGTGCAGGGCATGCAGGAGGCAACCAGTTAATGTTCTCTCTCATTGATGTTTCTATCTCTCTCTCCCTCTCCCTTCTTCTATCTCTAAAATCAATAAAGAAAAAAATATTTTAAAAATAAATAAAATGGCCCTGGCCGATCTGGCTCAGCGGTTAGAGTGTCGGCCTGCGGTCCAGAGAGACCCGGGTTTGGTTCCCGCTAAGGGCACAAACCTCGGTTGCAGTTTGTCCCCGGCCCTGGTTGGTTGTGCGGGTGGCAGCCACTCAATGTGTCCCTTTCACGTCGATGTTTTTCTCTCTCCCTCTCTCTCTCTCTCTCTCTCTCTCTCTCTTCCTCTCTCTCCCTTCCACTCTATCTGAACAAAAAAATGGAAAAATGTCCTCGGGTGAGGATAAAATAAATAAATTAATTAATTAATTAATTGATTAAAAATGTAATATTGTCAGAGAGCAGAATAATATATTCATCAGGAATCTGAATAATTTTTCACGGATCTGGTTTATGATGAGAAAGATAGGAAGTTTCCATTAGGTCTGAGTTAGCGTTTCTTCTTGAACGTGTTCATATCATTTTTAATTAGAGAAGTCAGACCTCAAAGCCCCGACCGGTGGTAACAGGAGCCTATGAGTCAGGAAGAGGAGGAGGAGCTCAACCAAACCCAGAAAGCATGCACAGCCACGCCCTGGAGTCCTCCAGGGCCCAGTCAGACCCTCACGCTCAAGGGGTTTGATGTGAAGAGTGAGTAGACATGAGAAGCCACTGAGCAGGTGCCAGGTGCGGCCCCCCTCCAGTGGTCAGTCAAGGGAGGGTTCATAGACGGAAAAGGAATCAAATGGTTCCTGAAAGGTGTGTGGAGTCGTGACAGCCATATTTGTGGGAAAGCATGTGTTTTCTGGGATAGGCCTGGAAAGGATAAAATTAATAGTAACTGAAATAACATCTTCCGCTTCTGCCCTCACTGGCCTGACGCTGTGAGCTCGGCGCGTGTGTTTCCTGTGCGCTGGGTCAGCACGTCCCCAAGGCCGGGCTCTGCGGGCAGAACGGGCTGACAGCCCGGGAACCTGGGTCTGAGCTGCGGCAGAGACTCCCCCGGGACGCAGACTGCTCGGGTCTGCGGGCCCGCACTGACGCATCAGCACTGCCTGCCGTCCAGGCGAGCGTCTGCCGCGAAGGAAGGGGCGCACACCACGGAGAGCTGGCGGGTGCGCGTGCGCGTTTCTGGCCTGTTCCTAAGAACCTGGGACTTTGGGGATTCCCAGCAGAAAGGGCTCGCTGACTTCTAACACCACTTCGAGGGCCCCGCCCGAGAGGACAGGCAGGCGGAGCGCAGAAGCCCAATGGAAGGGGCAGACAGAAGGCACAGGAGAAAAGGAAAAGATGTAAAATAGAAAAGAGAGAAATGGACAGGGTGCTTTGGACCTAAGGTTCCTCTTAATTCAGAACTAACTTTCTTTTTTTGGAAAAATTTTAGACATAACATTGCAAAGATTATTTAAAATTCTAAGTTTAGAACTCTGCTGTAAAATATATGTCAATTTTGACCGAGTGGGTATAATCGGACAAGAAATGAATGTCACCCACCAAGTGGCAGAGAAATGGTTAACAGCGGCCAGAAAAGGTAGGGAAAAAAGGCAGAAAAGAGGTAGAGAAAGAAGCGCAGACACAGACCGAGGTGGCCCATCCCAGCATCCCGGCCGGATCCGGGCGTAAGACAGAGCCGCCCAGCTGCTTGGACACGGCTGCTAGGGTTCCAGCAAAGGGGCCGCGGCTGCTGGTCCTGTCCCTGGTGTCTCTGAGCTCCAGTAGCACTAGCTCACTGGACCCAATTTCACGGCCATCTGCCGTGACCAGAGGTGCACCTGTAGTGCCAGATGCGAGTCCAGACCAAGGACCCTCACCCCCCACACTGACAGATCCCTATGTGGTGAGTCCAGGTTGCTCGTTGGCTTGTAACAGTCTGTACAAAACTGGGCATTGGTGGTTTATTTATGTATTTTAACGAGACAAATTAAAATTAGTCCATTGCATCCCTGGGTGGAGTGGCATCACTTACTGAGAGATCTATTCTGTCCCCTCCCAGCCACCATCCTGTTTCTCCTGCACCAAGAGCTGATGTTAGAAAATATTTCTGATTACATTCGATGGGTGTAAGTAAAGCTACATGACATGCTTTCATCAAAGAGAATGAAAATCCTTCTTCAAGCAGAATCAATTTGCAGTTGTGACAGATGATGTTTTCCAAATTGAGCTGCAATTCAACAACGGCACTTTATGTCTTAAATAATTGACAGAAGGACTTTAATCTGTGTTCTGCTTTCATTTGGGTTTTCCTCAGAATAGGAACACTCTGCGGGGCCCCTGATTCTTGTTGCTTTTCTTTTGCAAAGCACTTTGCATGATAAGTAAAAATCTGTTTTTATGAAAAATGTATGAGTTTATAATGGAAAATGTTTTCTCGTTTATATATTGGAAAAAAATTGGTTCCTCCTTTGTGTGATTAGTGTATATATTAAGGCATAATTGATCATGGATATGATATGATATATCTTAGTTGAAAAATAGCTCGATCTCAAGCAAACATAGATTGCATTTAGTTTTTATTCTTTATAATAAATTTCCTGAAGACAAAAGAAGCAAGTGAAACACCGTTTCTTCTGAAATTTCCGGGGACTATCCAAGGTGAGGTCATGGTGACTTAAATGGAACATGAAAGAGAAGAGTAGTTGATGGTGTCAAGGTCAGTGTCCCAGACCTTTTTTTCTTTTCCTGTAAGAGGGCGAGGGGGTCCCAGACCTTTTTTAAAAAAAATTTTATTTATTGATTTTTAGAGAGAGGAAGGGAGAGAGAGAGAAATTGATTTATTGCTACACTTATCTATGAATTCAGTGGTTGATTTTTTATTATTATTATTTTCTTTATTGATTTTAGAGAGAGAAGAAGGGAGAGGAAGAGAGAAATAGAAACATCGATGAGAGAGCACACTGGCTGCCTCCTGCACGCCCCCACTGGGGATCGGGCCCACAACCTGGGCATGTGCCCTGACCGGGAATCGAACTGGGACCTCTGGGTGCAGGGTCGACGCCCAACCACTGAGCCACACCGGCCGGGCAGTGGTCGATTCTTGTACGTGTCTTGACCAGGGATGAAACCCGCAACCTTGGCGTGTGGGGACTATGCTCTCAACAGCTGAGCTACCCGGCCAGGGCCTATGCGCCAGGCGGTAAGCACAGCTGAGGCAGACACCCCAGACCCAGCAGACTGAGCCGCCGGGCAGGAGTAGCTGGCCCGCGGCGGACGCGCAGCACCTCCAGGCTCGGGCCGTGGGCCAGGCCAGCCCTGCAGCCGCTCTCAGCGAGGGGAGAAGAGAGCGCGGCGGGGCGCCCACGCGCGAGTGTGCATCGTCCACAGGTGTGTCTGCTGAGCCGAGGCTTCCGTCGTTTAAGCCCTTTTCTTTGTAATTATAATTGATGGTAGGATGTTTGTTGTCGTGGTTGTTTGACATCCCCACGTGGCAAAGTGCCAAGTGTCAGTCCCCTGTTTCCACCTGTGAAGCCATAGTCAGCAGCACTGGAAGCGGGAACCGTTAGTGTAAAATGTGAACGGGAACTTCAGTGAATTTTCTCTTCTTCCCGCGTCGGGGCTTAATGAGAGGCCAGTACGGTTCCTTGCCTTCGTTTCTTTATTTTTTAAGAGGTCAAGTAGCACCCGGCCAGTGTGGCTCAGTGGTTGAGCGTCAACCCTGCACCAGGAGGTCGCTGGTTCAATTCCCGGTCAGGGCACAGGCCCAGGTTGTGGGATGCAGGAGGCGGCCAGTCGATGTTCTCTCTCATCGATGTTCCATCTCTCTCTCCCTCTCCCTTTCGAATCTCTCTGCAAAAATCAATAAAGAAAACAATTTATTTTTTAAAAAACAGGTCAAGTAGCAAGAGTTCTGCAAGTTGGGAAACTTCTCTAACATCTAAGATATTTTACAGAATACATGTGATATCCTGGTTGTAATCACTCTCTCAAGAACTGGATTAAAAATACTGCTGAGCCCTGGCCAGTTTGGCTCAGCGGTTAGAGCGTCGGCCTGCGGTCCGGAGAGACCCGGGTTCGGTTCCCGCTAAGGGCACGTACAGTTTGCAGTTTGTCCCCGGCCCTGGTTGGTCGTGCGGGTGGCAGCCACTCGATGTGTCCCTTCACGTCGATGTTTCTTCCTCTCTCTCCCTCCCACTCTATCTGTACAAAAAAATGGAAAAATATCCTCGGGTGAGGATAAAAAAAAAAAAAAATACTGCTGAGCCCTGGCCGGTTTGGCTCAGCGGTTAGAGCGTCGACCTGCGGTCCTGAGAGACCCGGGTTCGGTTTCCGCTAAGGGCAGGTACCTTGGTTGCAGTTTGTCCCCGGCCCTGGTCGGTCGTGTGGGTGGCAGCCACTCGATGTGTTCCTGTCACATCGATGTTTCTCTCTCTCTCTCTGTTCCTCTCTCTCCCTTCCACTCTACCTGAACAGAAAAATGGGAAAATGTCCTCGGGTGAGGATAAAAAAAAAAAAAAAAAAAATACTGCTGACTGCTAAAATGCAGGTTACCACATAGTCCTCAAAGTCGCATTAACACACCTGTCAAAATGTAACCCTCCCTCCGTCTGAGTCCATCTTAGACTCACTCAGCTATTTGCTAAAACCGAATTTAGTACCAGTTATGTCATAAAATGTTTCTAGATCCTTCTACCTCTGCGCCAGCCCTGGTGCAAAGAGGGTATCGAAGGCTCAGTCACAGAGGACGGCTGCCTGTGGCCGAGCCAGCGGCTCTGCGGGCGGGCGGCGCGGTGGGGACCTGCCGAGCCCTGGAAGCACCCCCAGGATCTGACACTGGGGGGGACACGGTGCTTGCGAGGGGCGCTGAGTCGTGTGCTTTTGACTGTCTGTCCCTTCTCCCCTTTCCAGTGAAATCAGACGAGTTACAGACAATCAAGAAAGAACTCACCCAGATCAAAACGAAGATTGACTCCCTGCTAGGGCGCCTGGAGAAGATGGAGAAGCAGCAGAAAGGAGAGGGAGGTGAGTGGACGGGCCCGTGCCCACGGGCTGGGGCTGACACCAGAGACAGTCAGGGAGCCAGGTGGCCGCGGCCTGAGTGGGCTCGTGGAGTTGACCACAGACCCACCCAGAATTCTGTAGCCTGGAGTTGCAACCATGGAATCTAATCTTTTACTTTTCAGAGAACATGAGCCAGTGTGTCTAAAATTTATATATTCACAAAAGGGGGGAAACAAGAAGTATGTTGATGCTAATAAGTAACAGCTGGATTGCACTTGGAAGTTTCTATCTCAATATCAAGTAACCTTTAAGAAAATCAAGTCCACGCATGGACAAATGCTGTCAGGCTGGTAATAAAATCCATACGCCATTAAATTCACTGCAGCAAAGTTGGACAGGCTTCAAAACCGAGATGACAAAGCCCCTCCCCTGCATTGCTGTGAACTTCCAGGACCCCATTTAGAGTCTCAGCACCCACAGGCCCAGCCACCCGCCAAGTCACTGATCACAGCCACACCAGGCCCTCCATGCTCTGACGTTCAGCCCTGACCTTGGCCCCCTGCCCCTCCCCACAGGATCCTAACGCCCTTTGCTGTGATGGCAGATGTGGTTTAGAATGACGGGTGTGAGAGCTGGTGACTCTGGAGGGGCCCCGGGGCCCCCAAGGTCCCTGGAGATGCGATGAGGGTGGAAGGGCCCAGGCGCGGGGTGAACCTGTCCATCTGGCCTTTGCTCCCAGTCACCTCAGCCTGTTTTACCCGCCGGGATTCTACACAGGACTTTGTTTGCAAAAAGTTTCCCTTTAAAAAATAAATAAATCATACAGAGGGGCAAGCAGGCCAACGGAAGTGTCCCCAGCCACACCACAGTGAGTGACAGGCCAGGTCTTGAGCCCCGGCCTCGGGTGCGTCCGCTGCCCTGTCCCATCTGTAGTGTCCGTCACAGGTGCCACCAGGCTCATCCCAGGCTGTCACTGCCCTGAGGCCTCCTGGGGAGACCCCACTGGGATTGGGCCTGGAGCTGCGGCACAGAGGAGCCGGCCAGACATGGACGGCGCCGCCGGGGGAGGACCATGTGGCCCTGCTGTCGCGAGGCATGTGGCCTCCTGGTGACAAGAAGAGACTCAGATCCAAATCCCCCACCCATGCCCGAGCCTCAGTTTTCTCTCTCAGAAGGAGGACAGTGACGAGGTGTCACACTGTGAGGATGACAAGGGAAGTTCTGTCCCTGGCACCTGCTCGGCGTGAAGGCTCCGTCGCGGTGACCTGGGTTGGTGGGAACACACCGCTCCGGGCCAGGGGCTTCCCGCTGGCCGTCCGCCTGGCTCAGGGCAGCCTCGCCTGCCGTCTTAGTTCATTGGAAGACAAACGAGAGGGGAGACAGAATCACGTCGATTAAACATTTCTATTTCAAATGCATGTTTTACGGAGCAGAGATTGGCTGCCTACACCTCTTACTAAAGTGTCGGCCACGCGAAGTGTGTCACCTGCTGTCTGGGCAGAACCTGGAAGCTCACTGCGCCGGCGCTTTCCTCCGGCGACTCAGGTGCGTCACTGTGTCACACCACCCTGCGCGGAGCAGCTCTGACAACCAGTTTCCACTGCAGTGTCAAGGACTGCGGAGAGCTCACCTCGGCACAGATCTCCTCCGGAGGACCGTGGTGCCGGAGCCTCCCCAGACCTGGGCTTTCCGCACGGAGGACGCCGCCCGCCCTCCTCTGGGGAGGTCATCTGTGAGAGACGCTGACCCGGAGCCTGCGTTTCTTCCATGACGGGCTGACACCTTATTTTCTATACGCGTTCAAACGTCCCCGGTCATGAGACAGTTATTGTTTAAATGACAGGCTTAGTCCTTTGATATTTATGTCTTTCTTCCTTTCACATGTTAGACAAACATTAATTGGTCATTTATTTCTCTTACTAATTGTCTCCTGAACCACATTCATGTTTATGGAGATAAAAATAATTGTTTTCTATATATTTTTATGCAAAGAAGTCAGGGTTGTATGAAAAGAGTTAACCCCACATTATAGAAAGTGGAGAGAAATACAAAGAAATTCTTTAACAGTCTCGGGGTCTCCTTGAGAAACGGAAGGCGACACGCATTTGATTGCGTATTTGGCTGCAAGCTAAGTATTTGGTAGCTAACACTGACTTCGATCGTTCCTGTGCATTCATCTCTCGTCCCACTCACTGTCCGGGCGAGGAGGCCAGCCCCGCCTAAGCGCCGTGCGGGGAGGAGGTGCAGGGGCACCCGCCAGGCTCGGCCTCGGCTCACGGCCACCGTGCCCCTCTTCCGTGTGGCAGGAGGCGAATTCCTAAGCTCCTGGGAGTAATTGTGAGGAAGTGTAAGGGTAGCATGTGGACTCTGCACCAAACCCGCTTCTGACAGGTCTCAGGCTGGTATGCGGTCTCTTCCTTGGACTCTGGAAACTTCCGGAGCACAGGCCACGGCTTCTCTCCCTCCCTCCCCCAGCCGCCTCCCACGCCCTGGGCACGGCTGAGCAGGGGTCTTCTCTCGGCCTCAAGCCCTCCTCGTAACACAGAGGAATGGGTCGCGACCTCAAACCTGCCCTAGCTCTGACATCACGAGGAGCATGAATCCACCGTGCTCCTGGCATTGTCTCCGCTGAATAATTCAAATGACAATTTGGGGGTGTAGTGACTATTCATTGAAAACAACAAATAACTCTTAACCTCACTTAAGCTTCTAAATGTGCCTCATTCCTAGATGATTCTTTTTCTTTTTCCTTTATTGGTTTGAGAGAGAGAAGAAGAGAGAGAGAGAGAGAGAGAGAGAGAAACATCAATGAGAAAGAACATCGACTGGCCGCCTCCTGCACGCCCCCCACTGGGGATCGGGCCCACAACCTGGGCATGTGCCCTGACCGGGAATCGAACCGGTGACCTCTTGGTGCAGGGTCGACCCTCACCACGAGCCACCCTGGCTGGCAGGTTTGCTGATATCTTGATGCCTCTGGTGTGCTGGTGTCACTTACTTGGTCCCTGTTTATAGTTGTGTCTCCTCTGGTAGATTCTTCTGTCCTGACCCAATGTATTTGCTTTCACTTGGTTCAGTTATCCCTTTTATGTCCTCGACACCGAGCGTCATGTCTAATCCCTTGTGAATGTAACAGCCAATTAAATATTTAAAAGGAGCGGTAATCCCCTCACCCTTCCAAAACCTTTGAAGAGAACATGGATGTAATTGGCCCAGAGATGTTCAACTTCGCTGCGTTTAGATTCTGATCACAGCGTTTTTGCAGTCTTTTCTCCAGACAAGCCTCAGTGATCCCTTCCGCTGCTTCTCAGGGTGGATTCTGCGTTCGGACCGTCGCCATCTCGCTCTGGCCGCCGGTGGTTTGCTGCCCACAGAGCGTGGCCCTCGGGGGGGGGGGGTGCTCCACGGGCCTTGGCCACCACCTATGACGAGACTGTCTCTGTCCTGACACTTTCCTGTTGTTGACAGTTTGGATCCGATTGCTGGAGCTTCTGGTTAAAGATGGTGAGCAGACACACGAATTGAGCTCTGCTCCCTCCTGAAACTGCATTAAAAGTATGATGGGATTTTAAAGACAAAACCCCCTCGTCTGAAGGGGAATGGGGACAGGGCTGTAGAAGCCGGTCCCAGATGGAGACATGGACCTGATTCAGCACATCCAAGCCACCTGGGTCTGGTTTTAATCACCGAACCCCCAAACTCTCAGCAGAGGTCATCGCTTCCTCTGGAGAAGAGGGAGAACGCGGCAGACCTCTCGAGGACACGACCCCTGCGTCGCCTCCGCTGCTCCTGGCCGGACGCTGGAGAAGCGTCTCCTAGGGACGCGAGCACTGCAGACCTCAGGCAGACGATGGGAGGCATTTGAAAGCAGAGAGAGGGCGAGTTCGCGCCATTGCTACAGAAATGCCAAGTGTTCTCCCCCACTCAGGACCAGACTCCCGGCAGGCACAGGAGAGGTCTTACCTGGAAGTGTGAGCGGCCCGAGGAAAAAGACTTAAAGATGCTGGTGTGGGGGCCGCCCAAGGACATGGGAAAACAGGTCACCGCGCAGAAACAGCCCCCCTTGCTCACGACATTGCCCGTCGGGAACCTGAGACCCCACTTCCCGTGAGCTCACACACATCACCAGACACAAAACAAGGTGTGATGTGAAAAGCAGACACCGAAAAGGAAAATAAATTGGAGGACCCAGAGATTGCGCGGGAAGAATAAAATTTCAAAAACACAAAAATGCTGATTAGGAGAGAGAGACGACATTGCGTTCATGAAATAAGTAAGTGAGAAGTACCTTTGTTCAGAGCCTGGTAAAGGGCCCTTTGGGAATTAGCACATGTCAGCACAGGTGAACAGCTCAGCGCAGGACTGGGGGACAAGTGGGAGGGACTCCCCAGAACACGCAGACGAAAGCAGATGGAAGCCAGGAGGGACTGCGGCGGACCCTGCACCCTCGGCCGCCGAGTGTGACGGGAGCGGACCGGACAGAAAGCAGCGAGAGAACACGGTACAGAGCAGAAAGGTTCTTCGTGTGTAAAAGAATCGGCTGAGCCGGCGGAAAGTTGTTCATGTGCTGGAACTAGGGAACAGGTGGGGACAGAAGAAAGCTACTTCTCATAACAAGTCTCAGAAATATCAGTGCAAAAACTCAATATTTTAAAAAAGCTAAATTTGGGGTGGGGTGGGATTGAGTTGTCTTGAGCAACTCAATAAAAACTTTCCCAACGACTATGGAACAGTAGCTTCCCGGAGATCACTGCAGAAGAAAAATTGAGCTGGACCCATTAAAAAATGGCCAGGAAGACTTCATTCAAGACTTTGCAATAGGCATCAAGACTGTTGGAATGGCGGTGGAGATTGAACTCACTGCACTAAAGCAAAAGGCTGGGGGAATTTTAAATACTGGAGAAAGCTAATGGGAAAGTATTCCAGGACATTAACGGGAGGTTGGTCAATAGAACTTGGGCATCTGTCTTTGAGGGGACTCCAGGAAGTTGGTTTTGCATCTCCCACTGACCCTGGGAGGC